ACATCCTCAGAGTAGCACTGTCTGGGGTACATTCCTGCTCAGTAAAACGTTACCTGGGGCAGAGCCGATATATCTGCCCCCCACTACGTTGCATGTTCAGTGTACTGGAATTTGTTTTAAATTATTATCATACAATAATTGTCATTCTGTTCGAAGCATGGTATTTATGAAGCTGTGCAGTTTGGATATGATACCTATCAGCAACGAATTAGTTGTTATTTTTCTGTAAACAATGACTATAAAACCAGTACCATGCCTAACATAAGACACATCATAGTTCTAAAAAGTTTAAAGTTTGAGGAGGACCATGGTACGAGAATAATTATGCGGAGTAATCCGTGATAGTATCTTTGTTAGTTTTCCAACTACAAGTAACATTGTTGCTGCAAAAATATTTTCATTCTAAGTAAACTGAATCCCCATTTCACGCTGAGGCACTCCGCGATCCAGGTCAGTTGACTTGCAAAAAGAAAATCAACACGGCCCAAAGCTTTCCCTATATATAGTCCATAGTCCCCCTTCTATGGTTGATTAGCCTTCACACAATATATTGATTAGCTTATCTGCTACAAGCCCCGTGGAAAAAAGTTAGTCTAAGATAATATTTATTGAACAATGGCCGGTTTTCTGCCGGCTTGATTAAAATCAGTGTGCCAAGTTATTAGCTCACTACACCCTTAGTGTTTCCGGTCAGTGAATACCGTGTCAGGATAGTGCGAGCGAAATTTAAAAGATTCCTTGATAGCAAATTTTGTCACATTAAAAAAAATATGATCGAACGAACTTGATTGGGAAATCAGCTATTTTAGTAAATGAAGCATTAGACGAGAAGCTGTTAAGATATGGTTTTAAAAAAATTATGTCGAAAATTTCTATATATTTGTCCGTGCGTCAATTCTAAAAAACAGTTTTTCTTTTTCGTCATTTATATTCCACGGAGCATGTATGCAAGATTTCAAATTTCCAGACGAGTAGGTGTGCGTTGCGCGTCAATAGATGAGTTGGGCATAACTCTTCAATGAGTGACCTATATTGTGTCTCTTATCATTTATCATAGTTAGTGTAGATTAAACGTCATTTAACAATCGATCATACTATATTTGATGAGCTCCAGTTTGTGAAGTAAAGAACTTGTCCGGAACGAAACAAAGTTTCGCATGTTTTAATTTATAGTTAATTACACATAATCTCCCAATATTTATTTATTTATAATATTTATTCATAGTATATTCTATTCATTTCACTAGACTGAGATTTTGTACAAAAGTCGTTTACTTGGGCATTACTCTCTCTCGTGTTTCTCTCTCTGTTTCGGTTTTAAAGTATGCTGGTGAAATTAAAGGGTATAGGGGCATAACACTTTGATCCTCAGACATGGCAATACATGAGGGGTACCATGGACACTTAATGTATTCTGTGATCTATGGTACTTATTTATTTCTAGACACATAAAAAATTATGTGGTTCATAAGTATGTCTTATTTCCAAATTGGCTTATTACTGAATACTTGTTATGTTCATTTAGGTAAAAGTTTAGACGTGACATGTATTCAAAATTTTGCTCTTTGACATTTCAATTTTGCGAAGATCCTGAGAGAAATACTAATTTAGTAGAAGCTTTTGCCAGTTTTGTGGGTATATCTATCTTTGAATTTAAAGTACATTTAAATACTATGTAAAATATTAATCAGTATATATATAGATATATATCATCAGATATATATTATATATAATACACAAATATAATAAATACGTACATCAGCATTGTAAGAGGTAATAATTTTTTAAACGAGATTTGAAAATTCCAATTCTTGGGCTATTTCTAATATCAAGAAATGATTACACTATGCTACTTGTAGATAACGTGTCGAAATATTTAAAACGTATACCAGATTTTAAGTTAGAATACAATTGTGAAAACAGTATCAAATTTGGTGTAGTAGTTTTTGCGTGATGCCGAGATAAATCGTCATAGTCGTAGAATACTGACGGATCTATATATAATATATCGTCATAGTCGTGGAATACTGACGAATCTATATATGTAATATTCGTCAGATCCGTCAGTATTCTACGACTATGACGAAATCTAAAGATTGACGGGCTTGATAAAATTTCTAATAATTTTGTTTTGACTATCTATCTATCTATTGATCCTATGATATTTTTTTTAATATATTCCATGTCTGTGCATCATCTAGTTACTGTTTTATTATAATAGTGCGATATTTTTATCAGTAACAGTTAAATCCTGCTTATAATGCCCTAAACAATATTATCTTACATTACATACTATTAAATTTAACATTTCATAATAATTAACCGTTCTCATAGGGGGGGAAAGGGATTGTTAGTAATGGAGACTGAGAATCCCATTGCTAGCAATATACCCGACCAGGTCGACCTCCTCGCGGTTCTCCCTGGAAACTGTCATGGTTAATTCCTGATGAATTCATCATGACGGGCTAACTGGCCTGTTTTCATTCTCATCTATCACCTTTCACTGGTGCTCCGCCAGCGTATTCCGTTAGCGCAGGCGGGGTTACCATACCATTTTCATCCATCAAAAAAAAAAAGTTCTCATATATAAATAGTATAAAAAAATATAATAGTACACGCAAAATGAAATCCTAGGATCAACATGTGCAAGATACAAAATCGCAAAACAATAATCTAATTCCTCCACAAACGGCCTCGGGAAAGCTTCAGATGGTTATAAGTGAAAATCGCAAGATATGTTACACTGCCGCGTTACTCGTGGTTCTAGTTTTGAGTTACTACCTCATTGACGTGAGGCGTGTGTGGTATAAACTTGTGCTGCACCTGTTCTACTTCGTGTGCGATATGTTGAAGTTGCTGATGAAGTTGGTTGAACTGTACTGAACATGTCTGAAGTGAACGATGAACTGTTACATATATAAAGGTGGGTATTATAAGAATACAAATGAAGGCAACAACGCCGCTGGTGTTGTGGGTGATCATGGGCGGCGGTAGTCACTTACCATCAGGTGAGCCGCATACTCGTTTGCCCCCTGTGTTGTAAAAAAAAGGGCAAAGCAATAAACTGAGTTGTGACCATTTTGTTTGTTACTATGACACATTTTTATGGTTTTTTTTTTTTTTAATCTCATTTTTTTGTGTATGTCTGTCTGTTTTTATTTGTGTGTTGTAATGCAAATAAATTATATATCTATCTATCTTATACATACTTTTTAAAAATATTAAAATATCGTTCCTTTAGACTTTCATAGTAGCATTTATGACAAAAGAAATATTAAGCTCCATTTACTGAGCTGATTTAGGTATGAACGAAAACACGAAATTGAGTTCGAAAACTTGGAATTTCATTTTATGGTAGACCCCCTGATTGATTACATCTGACATCGATTTTCACAATTATTTTTGCAGTCCATAGGGTTTATTTTCTTGTTGGACCCATATCAATTTTGTAACGTTTCGAACAATCATTAATCATGAACAAAACTGCTTGTTGCCAGATAAAATTAATTTGTCATAAAATAATCTGTGTTAAAACAACAACAAAAAATTGTTCTCCCTCTTTTTTTCCTTCTACACAAAGTACAAACGGATCTATTAATACTAACGTTAATGCCTGCAAGTCTATGGAGATAGAACGAGATGGCAATATGCACTCTTATTCTTTGTCATGCGCTGGCCGAATTCATTTGTACCCTTGCCTAAGAGATTTGATTGTCCCGTCTGCTATCATAGTCGTGAATATATCATTCTTTATTATTTATAATAACTAGTTGTTTCCCGTGGCGCTACCCACGTGAATCGGTATATAAAATATCCTATGTATTAAAATATGATATATAACTTACCTTCTTAATGTTTCAGCCGATTGAACTGATCGGTTATATTATAGCATTTTTATATATGATTATTTAGCTTGATATAACTTTTTTATTTATGAACCGATTGAAATAAAACAAACACTAACTATTAAGTGGAACAAACCGCAACGCATTAGTGAAAACGGCATCCAAATCGGTTAAGCCGTTTCTAAGATCAGCGTGCATAAATATACAGAGACACCGACAAAAATTCAAAAAATCATCAATTCACATTTTTTTTAAATCATATTATTTTATTTAGTAAAGCCCCTAATCATTTTCTTATATGTCTTCCATGTACAGACAGCGGTCAGTTACGATTTTATTATATGTATTGATTATAAATACCGGGAATCAGTAATGAAGTGTGCCTTCACCCACATATTGTTTATCAACACGCTTATCGCCTTCTGTCCCGCTCGTTATACATATCTCGGAATATTGAATGAAATATAGTTCCAATTATTAACATTACGACTAAGCCAGTTTATAGGATTAATGATTATTTTATTAGTCGAAATGGAATGGTAACCCCGCCTGCGCGATCGGTATACGCTGGCGGGGCACCAGTAATAGATGATAGGTGAAGATAAAGGCATGTCAGTTAACCCATCGTGAAGAATTCATGAAGGATTAACCACAATGGTTTCTAGGAGGAACCGCGTGGAGGTCGACCTGATAGGGTGTATAGTTAGCAATGGGCTATTAGAACCCATTACTTCTAAGGTTTTGCCAGTAGTTGCTACTCTTGACAGGCGGATGGACAACCCCGCCTGCGCTATCGATATACACTGGCGGGTAACCAGTGAAGGATGATGAGGACGAATTCAACAATAAATTAGTCACGATGGTTTCCAGAGGGAACCGCGTGGAGTTCGACTTGATATGGTATATTGATAGCAATGGGGACTAAGCTCCCCATTACTAATAATCCCTTCCCTCCCGCAATTAGAGTTTGAAAATGTTTAAGAGGGACCCCACAGGAATCAATATGTACTGAGTTAGTACATAACCTACCCGTATATCGAGTTTCATTAAAATCTGTTCCGTAGTTTTTGCATGAATAGTAGCAACCCATCCATTCACCCAAACTTTTGCATTTATAATATTAATATCTAATATGTGATTTATGTTTGCCGACAGGTGTTGTTGCATGGTGGGGGTAAGGAAACGGTGTCAACATGGGAGACAGCTTCCTTCATCTGGGGGACATTGTCTCCCTGTATGCAGAGGGCACTGTATCAGGATTCCTCAGTACTTTGGGGTGAGTTGTATCTCTGTGAGTAGACCAACCCACCTAGACAATGTGCAAACGAAACTGTCGGTAGAATCGCTACGGTCAAACCTCACATGAGAAAGAACGAAATAGCTTACTTTGCTATTTCTATCTCATGGGCTCTCTAACGATCTGTCAGTGGATTCGTTTGTACTTTGTTAAGTGTGACAAGTCATCTTAGGCATAGATATTTCTCTCAATACGCCCGTATTTCCTCTAAACGACTTCCAAAAGACATATACTAGACTTTAACATCTTCCAAAAGAAATTAGTTTTCAAATCATCTGAATTTTTTGATAAAATTTTAGCAATTCTTTTAGGAAAAAGAAAAATACTTGTTGCAGATTAAAATCTATATATTTATACACGCAATATTTGCGACGCAATATTTACGGTGCTTAAGAAACATCTCGTAGGGTATAGATGTGTGTGTGTTTACGATAGAAGTCGTTTTTTTTATAAAACAACATACCCGGCAAACATTGTTCTGCGATATAAATTAGGAAAAGGGACACCCTAATCACCTAGTAATATAAAAGATACCTTACGACCTATTCTCGTACCTACCAAATAATATACATAAAAATTTTCATAAAAATCGGTCGAGCCGTTTCGGAGGAGTGTGGTCACAAACACTGTGCCACAAGATTTTTATATATTAAATATATTAAAGCAATATATGTATACTACTTGTAGCTTATGTGATTTTGCCGCCAATTCTGAACCGATTTTACTAATTCTTTTTTTAAAATAATATGATTTACTCTGTGTTAGTGCCATATTAATTTTGTTACAATACAAGTAGCTGTTTTTTCGTGGAAATCAATCTTAAATTGTTTCACAGGCTGGTAGATGACAGGTGCGTAGTCTGCCCGGAGGCAGGCGACTTGACTGATCCACCCAAAAAGTTCCGAGGTAAGTGAATAGTACTTTTAGAACACAAAGAATATTTACAATATAAGAGTTTTTGTATATTTTACAAAATTGTAACTTAATAATAATTCTTAAGATTCTATTTTGAAAATGACTAATATATTACGGACGCTACGTTTACTCAGTGAGTAAGGTAGTTGCAAGTTCACAACTTGATGCATTTGTTTCACTTTACTGCCACAGAGTTTCGCATTGCGGAAAGAAATTACGCAGAACTGCAATTTTAGTTCTTGAAGGGTGGGATTATGACAGTGAATTTACAGATACAAGCAGAATGCAATTTAAACATATTAAACAATTAAAAATAAAACATCATGGGCAACTACCTTTATTTTATAAAAAAATATACATTGCAATGAGATTAAATACAACAGGGGGTCTACTATGCAATGAAATTCAGGATTTCCGAATTTGAACACAATTTCGTATTTTTATTCATACCGAAGTCGGCACAGTAAATAGAGCTTAATTTATTTGTATGACAATCCCACCGTAAAAGTCAAAAGGAGCAATATTTTAACATTTTTAATATTTGTGAAACGGTATGTATTATGTAATTTTAATATCAATTTTTGTTTCATTCGATCTCGAAATTTCGGAAAACTTTTCATGGTAGGCCCTTATGTTGTTTACAATATAAGAACAATGTCAACAGTCTTCAGGTAATTGATGGTTGCTTTCGTTTCCAGATTGCCTTTTCAAGATATGCCCTATGAACCGATACTCCGCTCAAAAGCAGTTCTGGAATACTGCGAAGCAATCGGCTAACTCTAACACCGACACCGGTCTGCTGAAGAGGTTACACGTAAGTACTCGTATACCATAAGGAAGACTTATACCAGACAGAGAGAGAGTCGTTTGCTTGGGTACCTATGTCTCATTCGTGTTTCTACCGTGAAGCAGTTGTGTTTGCATGGCTGTGTTTCGGTTTGAAGGGTGGAATATGGCAGTGAATTTACGGGGTACAGAGGAATAATACCTGAGTCCTCAGGAATGGCAACGCATGGGGGGTATCATGGGCGAAACAGTATATGATACTCTGTTATGTCCATGGTACTGCTCATGTCTATAGGTGACGGTTACCACTTTTCATCCGGTGGGCCGTAAGCTTGTTTGCCATTATAAGTAGCATAAAAAAAGGAAAAATTAGAAAAAAAAATGTTCTCTAAAGTTTTCTTTTATTATAATGCAGAAATATAAAAACATGTATCCCCTTATTCATAAAACTAAAACATGGTACAAACCTTATTTTAACTATTACAGTGTTTAGTCACTTTCATTCAAACTGAGAATTTAACACAAAAGAAAGAGACAAAACAGTTCAATAGCTAAAATAGGTGTATAAAATTGACTTTTATATGAATAAGCGGGTTAATCACTAAAGTTTTCCTTCATTATGATGACCTAGTTATTTCTCGCAGCTATGCCTGCGTGAATCAATATATAATACATACATACATATCTGTCACGCCTGTCTTCCAGAAGGATTATTCCAGGGTAGGCAGAAACAATGGAACGCCAAATGCTTCGATTCAAACAAACCTGTTTCGCTTCCTCCACATTCATCAATCTTTTCATACACGCTCGCCGGTTACGGGTACTTTTAACTTGGCCCTTCTTCAGCACGTCGCCTATTTGGTCGACATACGTCCGTCTAGGGCGGCCCCTACCGACATCTCCATTCATTCTTGCTCGATAAATCTCTTTTGTAATTCTTCTTTCATCCATCCTCTCCAAATGACCATACCAACACAACATTCCTTTTTCGATTTTTGTTACTACATCGTCTTTCAGTCCACACTTAACACACACATATAATGTATCCTATTTATTCTGTTAATATATAACCTACCCATGTACCACGTTTCATTCGAATCCATTCAGCAGTTTAAGCCTGATTTGATATTAGTTGGATGTCTTCAAAAATAACTTTTTGGAATTTGTCACTTGGTTCGTAGGCGACTGAGAAATTAAAAAGTATAAATTAATTAAACATTTAATATGTGCCGTAGATACGTGTTTCCGAGTTAATTAAATTGTACTTCGAGTCAAATGAAAGGTTAGCGAGCGAGCCCTTTGTCAAGCTGTCCAATATAAAGCGACTTAAAAGATTAGGTTTTGCCTTATGTATTGTAGCAATTATTTTATTTAATGTTATGAATATAATTAAATTCATCGTCATATTGTGATTTAAAAAACACATTCACCAAAGGGAGACTTTGTACAAAAAACTATTGATTGGGTACCTCTGTCCCATTCGTGTTTCTATCGTGAAGCAGTTGTGTTTACGCAACGCATAGGGAGTATCGTGGACGAAACAGTATACTTTGTTATGCCCATGGTACTGCTCATGTCTATAGGCGACGATTACCACTTTCCATCAGGTGGACCGTCAGCTTGTTTGCCATTTTAAGTTGTATAAAAAAAAGACTCCAATCGACTTTATTTTACTAGCCTATAGCATTAAGTCTACCTTTTGTATCACATTTTATTGGTCAATTTCCTAGTGACTTGTGATACGTGTTCTTCGAATACCCATTTCAGGCACCAGTTCTCTACAACTTTAATGTATCTATGGTATTATTTTTAGTGTTTTATTGTACTCAAAAAAAGTTGTAAGATAAAATAAATAAATAAACATTATTTATTTAATAAAGTTTAAATAAAAAAAGGGATGTACTCGTATATTCTATACATTAGAGTTGGGTAATAATATATATAGCAATATCCATATATTTTAATTAAAATATTTATATATTGGTCCAATAATAAATATATTAGAAGTCAGTTATTCGAAAAATTACATTGGATAACAGACTTTTAACATACTTGTTATATAAGGTTTTGCTGTGTGTTTGGTGGGATTGGAAGGGAATCATCCACTATGAGCTGCTCCCATATGGCCAGACGCTTAATTCTACCATCTATACCGAACAACTGGACCGCTTGAAGCAAGCGATCGACCAGAAGCGTCGAGAACTGGCCAACAGGAAGGGTGTAGTGTTTCACCAGGACCACGCCAAACCACACACTTCGTTGATGACTCGTCAGAAGCTATAGGAGCTTGGATGGGAGATGTTATCGCATCCACCATTTTGCCCGGACATAGCGCCAAGTGATTACCACCTATTCCTGTCCATGGCGAATGCCCTTGGTGGTGTAAAGTTGAACTGAAAAGAAGCTTGTGAAAAGTGGCTGTCCGAGTTCTTCGCAAATAAGGAAGGGGGGGCTTCTACGAAGGGGGTATTATGAAGTTGCCGTCTAGATGGAAACAGATTCTCGAACAAAACGGCGCACATTTGAACTAAATCCGATCACTGTAACACTTTTTATAAAGCATTGAATAAAGAGCAAAAAAGCGGACGGGAGATATTTAACCCACCCCTAATGCCTACCATTGCGCCGTGAAGGTCATTAGTCAAATTATACCAACGGCACAGTACATTGACAGCGGAATTCCGCTAATTTTATTTATAATCTGTGACCTATAATAAATCATTGCCACCATTTTAATGGCTCCATCGTACTCAACATCTGGTCGTGTATAATTTTCTCAGAGAAATCTATGCACGTGATACACAGACGTGTCTATATGAACTAGTACTCTCAGATATATCCTTTGTGAAACATCGCTTGCATCCTGACGCTCCAGACTATTCTATTATGGACACAAATTTTATCATAATCGTTCCAATAGTTTTTAAATTAAAATAAATGATTTTGTCACTATACAAAATATGTTTTTTTTTGTCTAAATATCTACTTTTATTTTCATATGCTTCGTTTGTACTATATCGGTTAAGTGGTTTTTTTTTTTCTTCTAGAGAAAATTTAATTTTTGTAAGCTTTTAATTGTAGAAAATAATTCGTTAAAATCGTTTAATTGTATAGATAGTAAGGATGGATAATATATAGCGATATCTATATAAATTAGGTTTACATATTACCAGAGGGAGACTTTGTACAAAAGTCGATTGCTTGGGTACCTCTGTTCCATTCGTGTTTCAATAGTGAAGCAGTTGTGTTTGCATGGCTATGTTTCGGTTTGAAGGGTGGGATATAGCGTGAATTTACTGGGTATAGAGGAATAACACCTGGGTCCTCAGGAATGGCAACGCATGGGGAGTATCATGGGCGAAACAGTATACTCTGTTATGTCCATGGTACTCTCATGTCTATAGGCGACGGTTATCACTTTCCATCAGGTGGGCCGTCAGCTTGTTTGCCATTCACGGCATTAAATCTCATTATCAACAATCTCTTTCCCCCCCGATGGTAAGCGATTACCGTAGCCTATGAACGCTTGTAATACCAGGAGTATTGCCAAGTTGTTGGAAACCTCTCCCCCCCCCCTTCTGAGTTGAGAAGTTGTGAATACACGTAAAAAATTCACAATTTTTTGATGTTTCACAATACTCCCATTGCTTACCTAAATGAAGGTAAAAATCGTGTCACAGTCTCTTTTGATCGCTATGTAAACAGCTTTGATCTTGCCGATTTCGTAACTGATACTGATGAAAGCGTTTCTATTAATAAGAATAACAATAATATACCTAAACAAATTTTATATTGGTAAGTGGTATTTTTTTTTTTTTCACTATTTTCATCGATCGATCGCCAATACTTGGTTTGTTGATTTGTTAAACGGTTCGAAGATTTTATAGTTTACCGTAGAACGGCGGGATATCGTACGGTTTTATCGTCACGATATAATAGTATGGAAAATTGAAAATACTTTGATATTCTCGTGCGTGTTTACAATGTTCACATGCTGAGAGGGGAGGCATTATTTGTAATGGGGTCTAATAGCCATCTCCTCAGGAATGGCAACGCATGGGGGATATCATGGGCGAAACAGTATACTCTGTTATGTCCATGGTACTGCTCATGTCTATAGACGTTGGTTACCACTTTCCATCAGGTGGGCCGTCAGCTTGTTTGCCATTCTAAGTTGTATAAAAAAATACTTGTTTTTTAATGAATGAAAATGGAATAGAAGCCGGGACTGTAAAAACGAATGTTGTAACAGTAAGGAATGATAGGCGAAGAATAATCAGGTGGACTGAATTATTAAAATAAATTAATAAATACTTTTACAGAACATATTTTCTGCTACTGTCTAATATATCAATCAGGGGAGAAAGGGATTGTTAGCAATGGAGTTTGACAGCCCCATTGTTAGCAATATGCCGTATTAGGTTGACCTCCACGTGGTTCCCCCTGGAAACCATCGTGAACAATTGTTATTGAATTCGTCACAATGGGCTAACTGACCTGCTTCATCCTCACCTATCATCCTATACTGGTGCCCCGCCGGTGTATACCGATAGCGCGGGTGGGGTTACCATTCCATTATCACCCATTAAAAAAAATATCAATCAATTATCACGGAACCATAGAGACAGTTTTTTTTTTTGCAACTGTAATGGTTCATTATTAAAATATATAGCCCCATTAAATCGGAATGCCTTATATAAATTACCGTATTGCCTTTGTAATAAGGGTGAACGGTGTGGACTGCCGCACGGTGAGCGTGGACTGTAGGGGCGTTGGTTCAGGCTGGAGTGAAACACAGGGATTACTATTCTGAAGCCTCCGGTACCGTCTGAAGAGAGTATTTTTTCTTCTTGTCCTATTTCTTCTCGAGAGTGTAGTGCGTCGCTGCTCGGAAGCGAATGCCGCTCGACGAGAGGCGGCCTATCTTTATACCCGCCCGCTCGCATGATAACGTTTCCAACTCGCGTTAGCGAATCTGCGCGAGCGGGACGGGGCGAGAAAGAACGAGACGCGTGTCTCTTCAGATCGGTACTCTATAGCGTTTATTTATTGCAATTTACAATTTCTTAATTCTATTTATTGTTACAATTTCTATTTCTATTCGTAGGTAATAATGACAACACACAAAGAAATACTTTATTTAACTTACACTATCTTAAATCTATGCAAATCTATATAAAATAACAGAATACAAAACGATTAACTAGGACTTAACAACTATAAATTACGATATATACA